TATATATATATATATTTGAAGTTTTGTCTAATCTCATACAATTCTATAAGGACCACTCATACATTGTTTATTTCACAATAATGTAGTTCCAAAGATCCATTCGCTATTAACATTAATTCTATGCACATTTATTTTTTCGTTATTCCAATTCACATTCCGTCTGAATTTGCATCTGTTATGTTGTGGATGTCATGTTATAGCTCTTGAATGCATAATTGATTTGTACTCTATGTTATGTCCGTTGTATAATATCTTTTAAAATTGCATTGTAGTTTGTTATGATTGTTGTGCTATTCTAACTTATTTTGTTATAGTTATTGTGATTGCACTCATTCTACTATATCAACCTTATAGTTTGATATATTATAATCTATTTTCAAATTAGATTTCAACTTTGTGTGAACCCACATTGAACTTTATTTGTACATTGCTTTAACTTTGTTCGATCCATATTTAAATCACATCAGAAATTTACTGGAAACAAAATCTTACTGGAGTTTGGTTTGAACTATTGTTGGTCGTGATGGATGAGTACTACATAGCATTATTGTCTAAAATGAACTTTTGAGCATATTTCCCCATGAAAATAAATAGCAGGCATATCTCACCAAATTCTGCTATTTTGAACCATATAAAGTCAGTTTTCCTGAAGTTCTCTCCCCATCAATAACGATGATGCTTCCTAGCTTGTTACGACCATTGCTCTATTAATTTTGATTATAATGCAATCATTCCTAGCAGAGATCTTATTGGGACAGCTACTTTGATATTACCATTCAAACAACTTTTACTAAGGAGACCGAAGAAGTGCCCATATCTTTCCAACTAGAAAAAGATGATTATATTCTTTCTTCATTTAGGGCTGCCATTCTATAAAATTTGGGCTATGTGGTTATTATTGTTATTTATCACGATCAACCATATGACATTAAATTAATGGGGATTGCAAATGGCTGTTGAGCAAAAATCGTATTTTTATGTTTGGTATATTTAATTTATAAAAATTTAATCATATCTAAGCGTAATTATTTTAAACTAAACTTTACAGACATATAACCAGATTTTGGTATGGTTTCTTTGCTTTCAACAAAATTAAATAAAAAAGGGAGAATATAGCAATCATTTTGTTTTCGCTGTGCTTTTCTAACCTACTCCGAAAATCTCTTGAAAAAAGGAATAAAGCAACGTATGTTTTAAGTTTGGTCTTAACTATCTGTGTTTGGTTTTTTCTCAAGGCGTTAATTTTCATCTTATGCTAGACATTCTACTTACGATTCCCTTTACGCTTGAGAAATAACCATTTCTTAAATTACTTTATACCCTTCAGAAAAGAGTGGGATTTATTTATTTATTTTGGTAGATCTTTCATTTTCCGGCAACAGTCATGGTTTTTTGGACTTGATTTAGATACATAACTATGTGCAGTTAGTTTTAGGGAGCATGATGCTTCAGCATCTACTGTCAGTGAAACTGCATTCAATGTTCCCCCAACAACGGTAAAATCTGTTTCCATGAGGGATATGGGTACTGAAATGACCCCTATTGCTAGCCAAGAGCCCTCTCAAACTGGAACTCCTGTGAGAGCAACAACACCGTCAAGGAGCCCAAGTTCTTCGAGGCCATCTACACCACCAAGAACTGCAACAACAATTGAATCCGCTGATTTCTGTAGGGAGAAGGAACTAAGAATCAGAACTAGAAGGGAGATAATGGTTCTTGGCACACAATTGGGCAAGATGAACATTACTGCCTGGGCGAGCAAGGAGGAAGAAGAAACAGATGCATCTGTCAACTTGAAGATGGATTCATTAGATCAGCAACCCAATAATGTTGTAGAGGCTCGTGCAGCAGCTTGGGAAGAGGCTGAAAAGGCAAAGTACTTAGCCAGGTAAATTACTAACGAACTCGGTTTGCAATTTATGTTCCCTTCATATTCATTCCGTGGGCTTGGTAGCTGCTCAAGATCACGCTGCTACCGGTAGTAGATATGATTTCTGAGTATATTTATTGCTAAGAATTGATCGTGGACATATATTTTTTAGGTTTAAACGGGAAGAAATCAAAATTCAGGCTTGGGAAAATCATCAGAAAGCTAAAACGGAAGCTGAAATGAGAAAAGTTGAGGTACTCGATGGATTTTTTTATTTATGAAATTGCTTCTCCATGCAACTGAAGGATCAGTTTAATATTTTTATGGCTTAGTTTGTCGTCATCCATATGTTACCCTTGCCTTGACTCAATTAGTGAATATAGAAATGTTGAATGGGCTGTTACAGTTCAAATCGCACTTTAGGATCAAAATGAAGCGTTGCATTGGCTTTGCACATTACTTTCTTGTAAAGCGCAAGCTCTTAGCTCAGTACACATGTAACACCTCTTCATTGTGCGTTATAGCACTATGCACTCAGTTCTAGCTCAGAATCAATCCTAGTTTAGATTTAATGTTCAATTTAGCGTATTCTACAATCAAGGAGGCATGATTGTTTGCTTCTTCTCAGTATTTTTTTTAGTCATTAAGTCTTTGCTCGGTAATTCTCCATTGTCTCTCCCATTAGAGTTTGTAACCATTTGATGGTTCTTCTTTCCATGCTCACTCCTAATCTATATATGCATTTCACTAGTTTTAATTGTTGATACTGGTAACTTTTTGCGAACAAGCTTCTGCTCGAGAATGCTTTTTGATGCCTTGTCTTTGCAATCTTTTGCTTTATATTGGGCTTTTCTTTTGATCTCTAGTCGGTCAATCTCATTAGTGTATTTCATGATTTTTGTAAGCATTCTTACATTACTTCATTATTTATGTCGCTCACTTGTTTGATGTATTTTGCTTTTCAAGTAACTGAAAATTATTCTTATTAATGATACAATTATATTTGATAAATTATTATTACCTGATGTGAATTATGTTTGGCTAATTAAATAACTATTGATGCATATTTAATAGGCGAAGCAACTGAAAATTGTTGATGTTCTAGTCTGAATGCTGTACTAAGAAAGATATTGGTAAAAGGAAGAAAAAAAAGTTCACGCTCGCGCGCGCGTACGACTATGCTGATGCTTTGAAAACACTGTTAGCAATTTACTGTCTTCTTCAATAACTAGGCATGATTGTTTGCTTCTTATTATTTTTTATTAGAAGTTTAACTGCTCATAAGAGCCATTACTATTTTGCTGCTATTATTTTGAGTTACCATATCTATTTATTTCCGATTTGGTGTCTTTCTGGATTGAAGTCTTTTCTTTTCTGTGGTTTATTGTAATATGTATTTATATCCTTTGCTGCGATCAATAAAACATTCTACTTTTCTCACAAAATTTAACATGGTTTTAGAGCTATGGTTCCCTAGAGACTCTACCTTACCCGCTGACCAGGATCCCCTTCTACTGCTGCATTCATAGAGATTTGACGTGAAGAGAGCCGATGACTTGTCATGCTCGGCACTTCCACTTCAGTTGAATCATCCGTCTTAATCACTAATAATACTCAACATTCGTATAATACTCAGGCCACTCACTCCACTTATGATTTCTGTCACAAACCTATGCACACTCGTAACAAATGTTGGAAGGTATGTTATCTCAGGCCACTCACTCCACTTATGATTTCTGGCACAAACCTATGCACACTCGTAACAAATGTTGGAAGCTCCACGAGACACCAACATACAAATTTTAGCCAAAGCCTCTTTTACCAAGGGTCTGACAACAACATCTGAGCCCACTACGGTACAAGCGACTCTCACTCAGAACATTTCAGAACCACCCGAATCTCATAAGAGTCAGATGGAACACTTAATTAAGTTGTTTGCATCCCATCAATTCTCTTCCAGTCCGTCGACAACCTACCTCTGTCAAGGTACAATTTCCATGATACACTTCTTTTGTCTTTTCTAGTTCTTGGATCATTGGTTTAGGTGTCACATATCACATGATTAGACGCTCTTAACATTTGTCGACATTCTATCCTTGCTCTGAGAAAGATATTGAGATTGTTGGGGGCTCCTATATTTTCATTGTTGGTAAAGGGTCTGTTGTATTAACAACCGTTCTAACTTTAGAATCTGTGTTACATGTACCTCTATTGAAGTGTAGTCTTTTATCTGTCAATATCTTGCCACATGATATTGATTGGAAAAAAGCTTATTTTTCTCAAGTTGTTTGTATCTTTCAGGATCGTCATTCGGGGAGGATGATTGAAATTGCTAAGTGAGTAGCCAAGCTCTACTGCTTCCAAGAGAAAGACATGGAAAACGAGGACACTCCATCCAGTATTTGCAGTTTTTCTCGGTCCACTGAATGTCCTATTATGTTGTTGTATTGTCGTTTGAGTCATTATAATTTTTAATATTTAAAACAATTGTATTTGTTGATGTTTACTAATAAAAAGTTTGTTAGTTTCAAATGTGAGATTTGTCAGTTAGCTCAACATCATTGCTCTGACACGCATTTCGCTCCCTTTTCACTTATTCACAGTGACTTATGGGGACCCTATCACACGCCCAACTACACTAATAAACTGTGGTTTTTACCTTGATTGATGACCACACTCGAATGATGTGTGTCTATATATTAAGACAAATTTGAAGCTCTCGCCACCTTAAAAAACTTTCACTCCTTTATTTTGATCCAATTCAAAACAGTAATTCAAGTCTTTCGAACCGAGAATGGTCGTGAATTCTTTAACTATATATTGGAAGAATTATTAGAAAGTAAGGGCATTTTCAATCATAGCTCGTGCACAAACATTCAACAAAATGGGATATTCATTAGAAAAAAATTGACACATTCTCGAAGTTGCTCATTTATTATGTTTCAATCTAATATCCCTAAATAATTTTGAAATGATGTCATGCTTATTGTCGTCTATCTCATCAATAGTGCTCCACAAAAAAATCAAAACCTCAAAACCCCATTAGTCATTTTGATGTCATATTTCTCTACCAATCGGTTCTTATCTATTTAGATCCTAAAATTTTTTGGTGCACGACGTTTGCTCGAAACAATGCCCCAACTCGTAGTAAACTTGATCACATGTTAATAAAGTTTCTTCCTCGGATACTCTGTCACTCAAGAAGACTGTTAGTTTCTTGATTCAATCACAAATAAACTCTTTGTGAGTGCCAATGTCTCTTTATTTGAAAGTGGCCCTACTTCCCTATCACTGCCTTAAGTGAGGGGGAGCCAAATTTCTTGGACACTGTTTCTTATCCGACGTTTGTGGATATTTCCCCAACTCCTCTATTCATTATATCTGAGGACCCTCTATCACTCTGAATCTACCATCTACCTTCTACCAGACAATCATCTCCTCCTCCCACACTTCGAGTCTATATGCAGCGCACTATTAAAGGAGTGGGGGCTAGATTTCTTGGACACTATTATTGACCTCACTTTTAGTTGAGGTCTAGTCTTTCTTCCTTAGAAGCCTAGGATCTAGCCATAGGACTTTTCTGTTGACTATTCCTAGAGGACTAGTGATGGTACCCTCACCTTTAGAAATTCTAAACTCTTCTTTGCTATCTTGCAGTTCCACATGTTGTATCTAACCTCTAGCACTTAGTAGGTGAGACCAATAAGTGGAGCCCCCATATGACTGTTTGGCCTTAGGATTACCCGTGAGTGGTGCGGTCTTGGTCAGTTTTACACACGTACACTTGCACCTGTACTCACAAGCTCAACCCCAACCAAATATGCTTGGTTGATCCCTCACTCTATTAGAAACTCATGTGAATGGTCCCCCAAACCATTAGCTCTGGGCTAGAGTTCGGCTAAGACTCGCACATGGAGGATTTAAAATGAGATTTCCCTTGGTCTCATGACTTAAATATGGTGACCTCATGAGTAACATCCTCAATCAATTCCAATTTTGCCAAATTCCAATTTTGACCTTCCTTGGCCTTAAACTTCACCAAATTATCAAATTGCCCTAAACCCTAAATTTTCCAAAAATTCTCAAAATTACCCAAATTCTCAAAATCTCTTAAAAAATCATTTCAAACTATTCCAAATCACTCAAATTAACCAAAATAACTCAAAATTTTTAAAATTCCTAAAATACACTCAGAATCCCCAAAATTACCAATATGCCCTTCAAACACCTCAAAAATTTCAAGATTCCCAAAATTTTAAAATCACTCCAAATTTCTCTAAAATCAATTTGAACCACTCCATTGAGCCCAATTTGACCAAATTCTCTCATTTTCACCAAAATCCCCAAATTGCCCATAAAGACCCAAATTACCCAATTCATCCCCAATTTTCACCAATTTGACTTCAATCTCACCCAATTTCAATTCCAAAGTCAAATTCATCATCCCCAATCCCAATTGAAATCAAATATAAGATCAATTGAACCCAATTGTAAGCCCAATCCAAAATCCCCAATTTTAGCCATACCCTTAAATTCCCCAAATTGAACCCCATGATCAAATCAATTTCCCCAAATTTAGATTCTAAATTCTGCATAACACTTCCCCAAATCAGTTTGAACAATCAATTGACCCAAACTTGAACTGAAAGCTCACCCAAATCCAACATAAACCAAAATCCTCAATTTTGACAAAAAGTCCAAATCTTCCAAATTGAACCTCATAACTCCAAAATTTCTACCTAATTGATATCCAAAACTCTTCATTACAAACACTTGGACCAATTTGAACCATCGATTGAGCCTAACCTAAACCCTAGCCCAATCCAAACCCAAGTCTAACCCATATGCCCAAAATTGACCATACGGTCAAATTTCACCAAATTAACCTTCCAAATCAAATTAAAATCACCCAATTGTTATCCAAAACTCCTCATGACAATTATTCAAGCCAATTTTATCAATCGAGTCAAATTCAAAGTCTAGCCAAACCCAAACTCAAATCCAAGCTCATGACATGATTTTGAACCCAAGCCATACATTTGACCAAACCAACCCAAATTGACCAAACCATGGTAACCACAACCAACATTTGGACCCTAAGGACTAGGCTAGACCCACCTAGCCCACTCTATATGAGCCATGGACCAAAGGTCCCTTGTTTAAGGGGATCTCTCCCCCATATTTGGCTAATCCCAAATATATTTTCCATCAAGCATTAAACCTTAAGGGACAATCATCATTAAACCTCCCACTGGCTCACCTGACCCCAGCCCTGGCCTAATCGTCCAGCCTAGTGGCCGTAAAACACCAAAACCGAGAGGTCCCCATGACCAAAACTCAAAATTTGAACTCCCAGAGTTGCTCACCCCCATTGGTCATTGGTGCCACTCAACCCCCCACCTAAGAAATTGATTCCACCCCCTGGTTAGCCGTGGTGGCCACCATAGCCTTGTCTATTTAAACCACAGCTCCCATGGCCAAAGGAGGGGGGATCATCCAAATCCATGGGGAGACTGTCAAAATCCTTCCAGAGCCTCTTCAAGCTTTCTTAAGTCCAATCCCACAGTCATCAGGCCTCCATTGCCACTGCCAAAGCCCAATTTCTCACTTGAAATCAAGGACAATTTTTTGTCCTTTTACCAAACTCCACAAAACTTCAAATTAAACCTTTCAAAAGCTTTCTCAAACCAAAACGAGGAGGTTCCCCATCAAAGACCCTTTTTGTTGAGCCCTCTAACTCACTTCTAGACCAATGTTGTGCCACCTGTTGGTCGAACTCCTACCTAGACCTTATACTAGAGCAAGGTGACACTTCGAGAAGGTTCGTTGGACCCTACTGAAGCTTCCACAAGCATCTGATTGAGGCCTCCCCTCTCAGACTCTCTCTCAGAGTTAGGTATAGAGCTTAAACCCTATTTTTTGGCTCAGTTTGGGCTTTGTGAAGAAAAGTGTTATTTCATACGCATGTAGCCGTATAGATGCGTTCGTCTTGTCTGGATGAAGGTGTAGGAACAAATCTGAAGTGATTTGATTGAGTCTAGGCAGAGATCTTAGGGTTTGAAGTTGGACGGTTATCAGGCTCGGTTGATTGGGGACGATGGACGGATGTCGCCCGTTTTCGCTTGTATTGATTGGACGGTCCGGATCGCGCCGAACGGAACGATGGCGGCTGACTCAGGTGGCAGCGACCAGTAGCGCGGTGACGCATGGAAAGCTCGGAACGTACGAGGTTGACGCGACAACTGACTGGGTTAAGTAGAAAATTATAGATTTTTTTATTTAAATTAATTCTAGAACATAGAAAGTTCATAACTTGGTGTAGAAAAATTATAAAAATAAAATAAAAATACCATGTTGCTCAGTGAATAGAGGAGAACAATGTGGAATAAAAATAAAAATTATTTGACGACTCTCAGATTTTTAATTAATTAAATACTCTCCGGCGTCTCTTAATTTTAATGTCCTAAATGATAATCACAATGACTTGAAATTTTATAGGTTTGTTCCTCATGATAGTAGATATGTTTTGTGATTTTCCAAAGTCAGAAAGCATCTTTACACGTGTAACCCTGATTTCCAAATTTAGATAACTATTTTGCTTAAAATAATTATATAAGTTAAAATATA